CCCAAGCTGCTGGGATTACAGGTGTGCCACCGCATCCAGCCTTTGAACTTATTTTGATAGATGAAAGTTATTTTCTCTTTCTTCAACCTACTCAAAATACATATTTTTGTCCATCCTTCCTGCAGCATCATAGCATATTCACTAATGTTCTTATAGTACAAATGTGAATTCTCCAACTTTTGCGATTCCTTTCCAGATTGAAAAGCAATGACACTAGAACCATCCAATCAGTTTTGGAATGACTACAAAAATCAGAACTTTGCTTGAGATTGTATTAAAATCTGTGAATTTTCATGTATTAAAATCTGTAAATTTTCAATCCATCAATATGCTGCATCTCTTCATTTAATTTTCCTACTGACTGCTTTTGAGTTCAGCAGTGAAGTGTACTAATGCATTACTCATGAAATATCCTGATACTATTTAAGGGATCATTTGTGAGGGGCATCACATTTCTCTACACAATGGATGTGTTTATCTTCTCCACCCCTTCTCCACCCCTTAGGTTTAAAGTTAAGTAGGATCACCACAAGATGGAGAAGAGTCTACGTGATCCTGAGAATTGATTCTATCATGTCCTTCCATCCTTTCAATAACTTGTAAAATAATACAAATTAAAAAGATTAAGAGCATCTGGCATGGAGCATACTCAATCCTCATTTGGGAAAAATGCCATGTATATATTAATGTATTTTACAGAACATATAATACAAATATTATGTGCATATTAACATACAATATTCATAATTTACAATATGAATATATAATACTATGTAGAACATGTGATATAAAATGCCTTTTTTCCTAAATTCACATTTCCTATGCATAATCTCTTAGAAAGCACGAATGTACCTCTCACTAAAGAACACGTGCCTAGGATCCCAAAGGCATCTCTGTACGTGCATCTAAACCCCCAAGAACAACATTTGCAGTATGTGTTGTACATTTGTATTCAAAAAGTTGCCATTTATATTTAAGGCCACATGAATGACATTCTTCTGAAAGGCACCACACACTTTTGCATTGCCACCAAGACTGATGCGGAGAAACTGCAACATCCGCCCTCACTGCCCTCCCTCTCAATCTTCCCTGAGTGAAGGCATATATTTTCAGTTTTTGTTTCTTCCTCGAGATGAGTATATTTTGTCATCTTGGTTGTTTCGTTAGAAAGCCATTTCCAGGGACCGGGGCTATAGCTCAGTGGTGCAGTGCCTACCTAGCCATGTGCACATGTGAGGCACTGAGTTGGATTCTCATATTGTGTCCATCTACAACAACAAAAAGTTTCCATTCCTTAAATGTCACTGGTTAAGCAATGAATATAGCAGCTAAAATCCTTTCTTCCTAGCTACAGCTGGTCATTTATCTATAACAAATACCTTGGGGTCCATCATGTGTAAAAGAATAGTAAAAGCTTTGGAAGATAGTCTCCCAAAATGGGAGAAGTTGAAAAGTAAATTTTTCATAGATAAAAAACTACAGAAGTGCGTAAGTGTCCAATATCAAAATACTTCTTCAAATCAGTAAGATACAGTAATAACTTGTTCAAACATAGAAAGATGAGTGAAATAGGTAATTTGTAGAGGGATAAAGATAATATCTCTTAATCCAAACTTTCTCCCTTTCCAGTGAGTAAATGAATGTCTTGATTTTAGAGCTTGATTTATTGACATCTTTTCTCACAGGTGGTCTATCTGATTAAAACCCTGCCATCAAGACCTTATAATCTATCATCTTATTCATGAAGCCAGGAAAGGGATCTTATACATTACTACCTACATAATCATAGGTAGAAGACTAATAAGTCAAAATAAATTTCAAACAAGCCATTAAACACTAAAATTCTGAAAGGATTATTTCTTCAGGAATTGCAATTATGCCACCTTTCCTATAAACCTCATTCATTTCATTTTACAAAGGAAGTATATACATACATGCTACATGTATACATAC